AAGAGTGAGGAGGACCTGCCGGTGTGCTCACCATGGTCCGTTTGCAACAAGGTCGACACGTACGACACCCCGCGGGTAGAACGCCAGTGCAGGTGCCCCTCTGGCCAGACCTGCAGCGCCTCCCTCACGCCCTCCGACGGACACACCATCACCGACAAGAATCGCCAGTTTAAAGTGAGTTTTCCCGGTCTGAGAGCAATCTCTTGTCAACCCAAGCTGCTGCGGAATCCAGATCAATAAGAATAAATGACTTCAATCATGTGTAACATTTTGAATATCACGAGTCAACCGCAACAGAAGGAGCTATAAAAATGAACGACGCGCCCCAGGCAGCCATTTTAATCGAACATCCTCCTCTTTCGCCAGCTGTGTGAACCCATCAAGAAACTGCCCAAGTGTCGCTACTTCCGCGATGTCACGTGGACCTTCATCACGTACCCGGACAACGTGACGCAGCAGATCATGCACTGCGCCTGCCCCAAGAACTCCGTGGCTTACATCATCAAGCGCCACGCCTTCCAGACCGAGCAGGGCCTCGGCTTCCAGTACAGCTTCGCCTGCTCACCTCAGAGCGTAAGTATCGCCTAGGCGTCTTATGCTACGTCGACGGCACGGCTGTTCGTTTAGATGATTAAGAATTAATATTGTTTGGTTTATTAGAATATTGTTTAATTTGAATAGTTTAATATTGCGAGAAATTCATTTACACAAAGAACTGAAAATTTGGCATTAAATTCTATCCTTGGTCATATGTTTTTCCTTACTATTTGCATTCACGAAGCAGTCCATCACATGGTTTTCATATCCGGGTTTCTCTCAACAGCGCCTCCGGTGTCAGCGCAAGGAGCCCTGTCGACTCTTCACGGTGAAGAAGCGCCCTCAGTTCGAGGAAGTGAACACGAACACCCTGTGCCAGTGCCCACACGGCCACCGCTGTCCCCGCCACCACATGGACCCCGGCGTCATCCCCGGCAAGACCTACACGGAGGATTCCATACGCACCTACAGCGGCTACTGCATGTGAACGCCAGGAGGCCCTCCGAGCAGCGGTCCGCTCGACCGACCTACGCTTCTCTCCCAGAGCGCCTGGAGCTGCCTGTGCTCTTTCGTTGTGCGCATCAGCGCATCTTGCTCGTGAGCGCTGAACTCTTGTATACATGCACAGCGGGCCCCACTAAAACTAGTGTAAGTGTGAGTGTGGGGACGCCGCCACGCTAGGCATGTCTCGATCTTGCGGCAGCGGGTCTGGCCCACAGCATCATGTAGCGCCACGGAACGCGACGGCTTTCGTGGTTGTTCCGTGGCTACGCATGGTGGTGGCACTCCTGCCCGTCGTGGGGGCGTCGGGATGTGTTTGGAGAGAGAACGAATGAGAGAGAAAGAGAGAGAGAGGCTGTCTGCACAGAGTAAACCACTGGCGTCATGCACTGTCTCCAGCGTCAAGTTCTCGATAACCTTCGCCTCTCGCTACTGTACCTGAATACGCGACGTCGCACGCCCCTTCGTCGCTTCCGGGGCGTCACCGCAAGTCATCGTGAGCACACGGACTTCACCGGATCATCTGCATCATTCCTGTTCTAAATCGATGAATTAATTCGCGTCTAGAGTTGGTCTCGTGCGTGGCAGGTGGACGACCCGGGGGCTTGGTACTCGGATGCCCAGGACACACTCGGCTATCCCGACGGGACTGGGCCTCTTGTAGAAGTCTTCTTATTTTATATTTTTGCATTGCTTAGCAGCCATCCATACTCTTTGACGATATTGCCATATTTCCAGTACATACTCAGTTATTATTTAGGGACCCCTCAGGGCGTTGGAGCAGTAGCGGCCCCTGCAGCCTGCCGGAGCCGCGGCCTAGTGTCTCCGGAGGCAGCGGGAGGCGAGCGCTACCAAGCCGTGAGGCGGGATGAGGTTGTTTCTCAGAATGAAAATACCTCCTCAGATGTGATGCCTCAGACCTCCCATATATATATCGGCCTGTGACTTACTCGTTTGACTATTATTTCCAGTGATAGTTGGACTCGGATGTTGTATATGTTAATGTGCATATGTCTTGACGAAAATGATGGATAAATATAATGCATTTATTTTTAGTTAACATTAACGTGCTAGTCAGATTATAATATAATGTTACATGGCTTGTTATGATTGAGCCTCGTTCCTTCCTTATCAGTCTTTGTTTTCTCTTCCTCCCCTAAAGTCACAGTCAGACGCAATCTGTCTCCTTGACTCGTGTCATCTTTATCTCCGACGTGAGAACCTGTAGTTGGAAAGACTACCATGGAGGCTGGTTCGACAAAGCTTCACGGGGTCGATCTCTTTTGTGATCACTTGTGTGGTGACTCCGTGATTTATCGGCTTTGTTGCAGCTCTATATGTTATCTTCGTGATCCTCTCCTCCCTCTTACTTTCGTCTTATTTATACACGACATCATTCTTTCTCATTATTGCTATTTTTTTATTCGCTTCTGTTTGCGGNGGAGAGGAGAGGAGGCAGAGGAGAGGAGAGGAGAGGAGGAGGAGGAGGAGGAGGAGGAGGAGGAGGAGGAAGGGGAAGGAGAGAGTAGGAGGAAGGTGGTGGTGGAGGAGGGGTGAGGAAGAGAGGGGGAAGAGGAGGAGGGAAGGAAGGGAGAAGAGGAGGAGGGTGGGAGGGAGAGGAGGGGGAGGAGAAGAAGAGAGAGAAGAGCAGAAGAACATGATGGATTAAAGCTAGAGACGAAGGAGGAGGAAAATGAAGTAAAAAAAAAAAAAGAAAAAAAAAGAAGAAGAAAAGAACAGGAGAGGAGGAGGAGGCGAGGAGTATGTTAATATATCGTCCATACGTCAAGTGTCTGAAGCAGTTGTGACGTCACGAGCGTTGTGTGCGAGCGCGAGCCAGGGTGAGACGGGCTCCTGATGAGGCTGCCAGAAACCCTGTCATTGGGTGACCCACTCTCCTCGAAGACGCGTCTCACTGTTCCTATCTCTTTAATTAAGTGATAAACAAGGAAACAACAGAAAGGAAAAAAATATGTAGCAATCAACAAGCGAGGAAATAATGAAAAAAAAAATCAACAAGCGAGCCAATAAAGGAAAGAAAGAAAGACAAACAATCAACAACCAAGGAAATAACGAAAAAAATCAACAAGCGAGCCAATAAAGAAAATAAATAAAGAAAAAACAATCAACAACCGAGGAAATAATTTTAAAAAATCAACAAGCGAGCCAACGAAGGGAAGAAAGAAAGACAAACAATCAACAAGCGAGGAAACGATGGGAAAAAAAGAAAAAAAAAAATCAACAAGCGTAAAAGACTTGTCTTTACACTCCTCTCTGTCTGCAAGAGAACCTAGCACTAGAGACCCGCTGTTCTCTAGCACACGTCTCCTTGGCTCTCCTTATTCTTCCTACGCTGAAACGATAGATAAGGAAAGGGGCAGCAATGGGAAGAAGAGCAAACGAGCGAAAGAAGACAGCCTAGGCCTACCCATTCATTCGTGTGCCAGCCAGAAAAACCCACCCTTGGCGATCCCAACGTTCTCCTAAACGACCGTTCATCTTCCATCATCCTTCGTATAATAGTAACAATAAAAACAATTCACAAAGACAACAAGCAGAGGCGAGAGACAAGTTTAAAACGAGAACGAGCTAAATTGGCGGTTCGTTCTAGAGGTCAGCAGACGAATAAATTCCTGTCGTAAATACACCGGAGACAGTTGCCCGCCGCGCCCGCCCTCGTCTGCCGTTTTCGTCGTCCTCTCTGGCCCTCCTTTCATCGTCGTTCCCTTTGCCCCTCTCTTTATTATCGTCCTCTCTGTCCTCCCTTTTATCGTCGTCCTCTCTTTCCTTCCCTTTGCCCCTCTCTTTTATTATCGTCCTCTCTGTCTGTCCTGTCCTCCCCTCCTTTTATCGTCGTCCCTTTCACCGTCGTTCTCTTTGTCCCTCTCTTTTATTATCATCCTCTGTCCCTCCTTTTATCGTCGTCCTCTCTACCCTCTCTCTTTTATCGTCGTCCTCTCTACCCTCTCTTTTATCGTCGTCGTCGTCTCGTCAAAAAACGCACACAGCTGTCCTTAAACACCCGTCCACCAACGCCCCACACACGCCGCCACGCCCGCCGCCCCCGGCAACACGGAGGCAGGTCGAGACGACGCCGATCACCACTCGCCGCAGCCACACTAATTTTGCAACACACTCGCCTTGACCTTTGCCGACGAACGCTGCCTACAGCATGACCTCACGTGACCTTCTTGGAATGTTGCTGACTCATGACGTCAATTCTCATGAATGTCGGTCTTTTCCGCGGGGATTTTACCATGCCCTCGTGCGGGATCACCTGACCTTGAGAATGCGCTGAACCCGCATGGTCCCTGACCTGACCTTTCTAGGGATGTGCTTGAGCCCGCGAAAGATAATCCGGGAGTACGTTCAATCCTTATTTCCTAGGAGTGCGTTTTGAACCCTTACGGTTGGTGACCCGACCTTTGACATGTGCTGAAGCCTCGAGATGTACGACCTGACCTTTTGGGAGTATGCTCAGTCGGCATGAGTGGTAGCCTGACCTTCCTGAGAATACACACGAACTTTTCCCGATTCATGACCTACCTCTCCCAAGACTCTAGTGACCTTCTCGGCGTGACTTCTGACCTTTCTTCGAAGAATGCAGGTACCTTCCCTAACCTTTGCGCATGGATGGACTCCTTAAGTTACATCACGCATCAGTTAAGCTTAATTAACGTTTATACAAACTTCTGCAATTGTATACGGTACTAATTAAGGTCTTTAAACAGTGTGACCTTTATACTTCAAATCGTCTTCCAATTCATATAAGAAACTTTTCGTCTTGGCAGCATCGCCATGACAAGCCAGGATGACCCTTCCAGAAACCATACTCACGGTCGGTAATTGCTTGCGCTCCTCCCTTCTCTCCAATACTCTTTTACAGAACACTCACCTGGAAAAAAAGAAAAGAAATTAGTTTGTTAAAAGGCATTTTAGAATAACATGGACATAAAACAATGTCCGTCTTTATTAACTGTCGAATTCCAATTATTCTAATTTCGTGCATGTTATCATAATCATCGCCGCCCTCCTCCTCCTCCTGCTCTTTATCGGTCTACTCTATTCCTCTCATTCGCTTTCTCCTTTTACTCTCACTCTCCTTCATAACCTTTTTTCTCTTCTCCTCTTCTTCCTACCCCCTCCCCTCCCCTCCTCCTCTCCGATTCTTCGCATTCTCCCCAACTTCTATTTCCCCTTCTTTTTCCTCCTAGTCATCCTTTCCCCATCTCTCCTCCTTCTCCCTGCATCCTCCTTTTATCCCTCTTCCCTTACGCCCTCCCGCGTTGATATGAATAATTTGTAGAAAATTGGAAAAATTGAATTTTGTTTTATTTATAAATTACAGAAGAGGGGAGAGACGAGAGGAGAGGGGAGAGGGGGAGAGGGGAGAGGGGGAGGAGATAGAGAGAGAAAGAGGGAGGGAGGGAGATAAAGAGAGAGGAGAGAGAGGAGGGGAGAAAAGAGAGGAGGAGGAGAGAAAGAGAGGAGGGAGGAGAAAGAGAGGAGGAGAGGAGGAGAGAAAGAGAGGGAGGAGGGAGAAAGAGAGGAGAAAGGAGAGAGAGAGAGAGGGAGGAGAGAGGGAGAGAGGAGAGAGGAGAGAGAGAGAGAGAGAGAGAGAGAGGAGAGAGGAGAGAGAGAGAGAGAGAGAGAGAGAGAGAGAGAGAGAGAGAGAGAGAGGAGAGAGAGAGAGGAGAGAGAGAGAGGGAGATGAGAGATGCACTCGAAGCCCCGCCCATTATTTCCCCTTTTCGCCATAAGTCCGCCCCTTTTACCCCCCTTTTCCCCTTTCCCCTAACCTCCGCCCCCTTTCCCCGAAACCCGGTCCCTTCCCCCCTTTTCCCTCGATTCTCCCTCCTTCCATCGCAGGCGACCTCTCCTCCCCTTCCCGAGCCCGCAATGCATGATTGCATGACCAATCCGGAACCAAAGCTTCTAATCTAAACTAATGAAAGAATCAATTACCCATTCGCGTCATGTCTAATTACGCCGCCTAAAGAGGAGTCCGGATGACCGCCTTTTTGGGTGTGTGCATAGGAACACGCACGCACGCACGCACGCACGCACGCACGCACGCACAAACACTCACATGCATGCACATGTGAACACACACATGCATGTACATGTAAACAAACACAAAACACACACACATGCATGTACATGTAAACAAACACAAACACACACACATGCATGTACATGTAAACAAAAACACACACACACATGCAATGTACATGTAAACAAACACAAACACACACACACACACACACACATACACACACACACACAACACACACACACACACACACACACACACACACACACACACACACACAACACACACACACACACACACACACACAACACAACACAGTGAAACCAGAATGAAAGAGAAAGAGACATAATAATTAATAATAATAATAATAATAATAATAATAATAATAATAATAATAATAATAAAAAACAACACTGAAAAAAAGATCCATCAAAAACAAACATTGACACAGGTCGCACTCGCAGAAACAATGAGAGAGGCAGCACGCAAACGCTTCCAGGCTGCCACCCCCTCCCCCCCCCCATCCGCGCCGATCGAATGCGCCCTTTTGCTGTTGTTGTTTGTTTGTTTGCGGCTAGTTTGACAATACCTAAATGTCCGTAATGGAGCAGGATTCGTGTGTGTATGTTAGATGTGTATACGTACTTTTGTGTATGTATGTGTAGATGGAGATGTATGTGTATGTGTGAGAAAGTGCTCATACATACAAACACGCATACATAAACAAGCATTCATTCATACAAACATTCATACATACATACATACACACACAACAAACATACATACATACACAAACAAACGAACATCCAAACATACACATCTAAACATACACACAGTACATAAAAGCAAACATACACACATACATACAAACATAAATACAAACACAGACACATATACAAACATTACAGACATACAAGCATAAACACGCACAAATACACATACAACAGCAACCCCCCCCCCCTCCCCCACCCCGCAAAACGCCGAGCCCAAAAGTCTAATCCGACGTCGAGCGAAGTGCGAGCCTGTGACGTCATAATTGTGACGTGAAATATCGAGAGACTTGAAATTCTTCCTCACTCGACACGGCAAAACATCTTGATCCAGGGGTCAGATTTCATTTTGCCTTTCTTCTTCTTTATTCGTTTTTTCTTTCTTTCTTTCTCTCCATTTGTTTTTTT